GTACACATGTATAAGTTATTAAAAAAATAAATATGAGATAGAATTATTAAAGATTATAAGTTTAATATTACTTCAACAAAATTTTCAAATATTATAACTTTTAAAAATTATAAACTCTGTATTAAATATAAATTTGCATTACTAAATAGAGCCTTAATAAATAAAATGTTAAAATAAAACACAATTACCCAAAATATTTTTTTTTAAATTAAATAACTAAAGGATCGCTATGGAAATAAAATTAATTATGAAAATATATGTTGTGGACTAGAGTTTAGGATAATTAATCTAACTATCCCTCTTCTCTATCGGGTCACTCTATTATCTATATTTGTTTGCTCTCTTGTAATAATATAAAATAATCTTCTGAATAAGTAGAGAAGATACTTTAATCATATATCATAAGATCATACTAATCCAATATGTATCAGAATAAATACTAAATAAACATGTAATATTCCATTATCCTTTATGAACTTACGTACACCTACCTTAACTTGAGCATAATAGTAGAAACTTAAAGGCTGGAGAAGACACGTCCAATAATGCAGACTCCCTCCAAGATGCCAAATAACAACAATATATGTGAAATTATTGATACTCTAACTTTTTAATAATTATTAAAAACAATTTTGCATCTTAGCATCAGTAATAGAAAAAATAGCTAGAATTTTGGGTAAGGAATACAAAATATAAGGCAAATTAGAGAAAATTATTAAAAAAGTGAGAAAAAAATAATGACAAATTATATTATTTACAAAAACCAATTTGTTAAGTCTAACTACAAATCTGACGAGCAGCTACGATGTGCTTAAACAATTTTCTATTTAAATGCCTTTTGGATTATCCATTCATGAGCGATATGGGACTTCCGAATTATGGGATTTTAAATGTATGCTTTGCAATGGCAACATTGATGTAATTATTACAGAAAAATCCAAGAGGAGTGACTGGGTCTAGATTCGACCTTAACTAGATGCGTTGAACTTCTCCATGTGTGTCTTTTAAATGCTAATGAAGGTTTGGACCAACTCTTGTTACTGTTGGGTCACTCTTGGCCTGTGTATAGTGAACATGATGTCCGATTTAACACGTTGTGATGAAAGTGATGGCAACCAATGTGTCATGTCATGTAAGATTCTGTTTAGAGACGCGTTTCATTGACGTAACTTCATTTACCATAAAAGATTAATTAATGAGATCAGTTTACATAAACTACTAAGTGTATTTAATGACAGTAAATTTCTTTTATGTTTGCTGGTCAAATGGATACTACCAGTAGAGTAGTGAGGTGGTGGAATTGTAAATGTAGCTCTTTTTCATTTTAATTTACTTTATTGTTAAGGAAAATTTAAAATAGACAAAAAGGGAAAATGCTATAATAAAAGTTTTAAATTTTTATTATTATAAAAGTTATATAATTTATTTACTTTTTATTATTTTTACTTGTTCAAATAAAAGAAGAGATTTTTGTTACTTCTTGCTTTTTTACTTTTACCTATCTAAATAACATTTTTTTTATTCTGTTATTTGTTTATTTTCCTGTTTTACCCTTCATTCAAACAAAATCTGAATGAATTTTCCCTTAAAACCATTTCATAACATTTCTCTCCTCATATTTTCAAGCCATCTAAACATAAAGTAAAGATTCATAATTTTTTTTATTATACATCATGTTTATTTATTTATCTATTTTCTTTTTATCTCTCATCATCAACGAATGTATATACCCATAAGATGTCAGATAAGATATTTCACTGAAACACTGATGGAATTAATTTTGAACCATTAGACATAATATTGAAAAAATATGTGGATAAAAATTATTATTTACGATATGATTTATCAGCTCAATGCATGAATATTTATTTCATTTAAATTTGGAAAAAATAATTATATGCTATTAAATGCAATTAAAATGTGTATATAGATTAGTTTAAACTATATATTTATTAAAAAATGTAAAATTTATTATTTTTAATCATAAAATAAACAGGCCCTAAATGTGATTATTTGCAATGTAGTCCCCGGTAAAAGTATTGAAAGCTTTGGTTTTGGAAGTGAATAGGAGAGAAAGGAACATATTTATCATGCAGACGTTAAATCTTTGAAAACTCTTTTCCATTTTTTGTTATGTATGAAAAGAGAAATAAAATGACTATAATTTTAAGTATTTACTTAATTTTTTTAAGTTCAAGATTTTTTTTTTAGTATTGAAAGTTGTTTATTTTGGAGGTATATATGGGCTCTAAGAAATAGATATAAGGAAAATTATTAACTTAACTTTTAGTTTAAGTATTATATTTGGTTATTTATTAAAATTATTATTTAAAAAAAAAGGTGAATTATTAGTGTAGACGATTTAGAATATATAATTGAGAGAGATGCATAGTTGAGTTCTATTTGCCTGATTCGTAGAATCTGATATATCTTAATCAAAATCGTCCGGTGCGCATTTATATGGCCTAGAAAGTTTATTTATCTTATAGTTTAGGTGATTTATCTTTTTATTTTATTTTATTACTTATTGTTTTATTATAATACTTATTCTAATGAGTTTTACGGATTTAGTGGACCTTTAACTTCACATGCTAAAAGACTAAAATAGAGCCTGCAATCGCATAGCCTCGAGAGCGCACCTCCGTCAACATCACTACATGCTTTCACAGAACTTGTGCTGAGTTGTGTTCTTTTTCGGTACCAACTTATGCCACCACAAAACTTTCCAACCGTTGTTAAAGACAAGTCCATTGCTACAAGATTTGCTGGGCATCGTTGTGAACTTGTGAGTACGTTGTCGTTGTTGTGCACGAGCTTGCGGGTACTTCATTAGAGCAACTCGTCTAAAAAACCTTAGCATGCACGACCCTGACTTGAGAGAGAAGGCAAGAGCTACTTGACATGCAATGGGAGAGATATGAATCTGTCACTTTCGAATCATGTTTGAGAAACAGGAAAGACAACAAATCATGGCCAGGATATGATGAATTACGTGTATGATGTGTTTTCCTATATATACAATGAAAAAAAAGACATAATGACAAGTTTGAAGAATACCATACAGATAAATATCAGTCTTATTATAGCTTTTTTGTCCTTTTTCATTATGTAAATATAAATTTCTTTTGGATAATTTTTTTTTCTCTAATTGTTAAATGCTTTTCAAGTCGTGCTTGAGGTCGGGTCATCACTTGGTGCGAGCTTAGTTTTCATAACATTTTCTCATTAACGCTATTTTTTTAAAATTTTGTTTTATTAAGTAATCACTCTTCATATGATTTTAATAAAGTTATTATTCTATGTCACGATATAGAGTCTATATTATTCAAATATTTTATTTGCACAAATCACGATCTTTTCCTACACCTTACGTACAGCAAATGGATGGACTATTCTGAAACACTTTCGGACGAGGCTGAATTTATTATTTGTATGGTTAGCCAAGGATTGCTGATTTATGAAAATTTGGAAGGACGCTATAGCATTATAGTGTTCATAAAAGATGAGAAGAATACAACAAATAAAAATAGGACATATTTGAATAAACTACAGCTAATAGCGTAATTAAACGTGAACCTATACTTATCTAACCGTGAAATTAAATATATTCATAAAAAAAAACCTAGAGAAAATATATACTTTAATGGTGTGATAAGATTATTATTTTATTATTTACATTGTTAGTTACAAGAATATAACAACAAGAGAGAGTAATTAATGAAAAAAATCATTCTATTCAATATTTTTAAAATTAAATGAATTAATAAATGTATAAAATTATGATTTATTAATTCAATTATAATTAAATCACGGTCAAATAAGCAATAATTAAATATGAATTTTAATATTATATGTAATGCAAATCCCAATGTGATGTCAATCCTTTTAAATAATAATAAAAAGAAAATCAGTGTGTCAAATATCAAAAAGATACTTTAAGTTGGTATAAAAAGACTTCATTTTGTTTTTAAAGAGAAGCAAAGTCATATATTTTATGCTTCCATTACAGGAACAGTTCGTGGATAAAAAAACCATGACTGAATTCATCTTGATGATAACTTATGTATTAGCTTAAAAATGATAAAACCAGAAATCCTATAAAAAAAATATGTTAATATTCTTTTACTTAATCATTAACTGCTATTGGGAAAAGCGAAAATCTAAAACTTTCAAATTTATTATATCTTTATCATCCTTATGTTTTTTTCCCCAGACTTCATCTTGTTCAACATATAATTATTAAGGTAGAATGGAATAAGTTGTGGGCCTAGAAAGCCGTTCAATTTTCTATATTTGTCAAGCCCAGCCCTTTTTTTGTATATTAAAGCCCGTAAAGTATTGCACACGCTGATATGTATTTATTAAAACAATCTTCATGGACTCGTACCGTGTCCAACTCACCTTTTGTCCTTGTTCATCTTCCTCATTTTCTTGGGCCTACGAAAATCTCTCTCAGAATATACAGTATAATAACAGTTCTTTTACCTAATTGATCCTTTGCACACACTAAAATATAATCCGTTTGCATAACTGTTCATTCTGTCTTGGTCTCTTGCAATGTTTGCATATATCGTCTTAATTAGAGCAAGGCCATCAAGAATTATTGAGTGCCTATCTTTAGAATCTGAATTATTTGGGAATTTTTTTACGTGACAGGATGATTTGTAGCTGTACCGTCAGAAACAATGACGATGGTGATATCAAAGGCCTGGTCAAAAGCCCCCTACGAATGGCATGACAATGAGGGTAACCAAATAAGAAGCAATGGACTTGGTAATTCCCAAATTAATCAACATCTTCCAATAAAAAATCGTAGCATTAGTTTGAGCATCTTGCCTCTGAGAACAGTATAGCTAACGAGTTGTATTAGCATCCTAACTGTAGTTTAGTTTACTTCCCTCATAATTTAATTAAATAAAATACAATGGAATTGCAAGGAATTGGGGGCAATATGGGAATTTGATATTACGCAGCAAGGAGAACCCCACATATTAATGGGAAATTGTCTTGTTTCTATTTATCACGACGTGAAGTTGTTGGTTGACGATCCGGTTAACTTGGCATGGCCTACAGAGAGAGATCCATAATATGTAAAAAAACATTAGCGTCTCCGTGCACAGGTGTTCGGCTTACCAAATCTTTGACTAAACAAAGTATAAAGATGGGAATCTTTCCACTATGCCGCTCCTCCTCTTAACGCAGCATTTTCTTTCTACAACAAGCAGTATATACCTTCGTACAATGCAGCAGGTTGAGGAAAGGGATATCCTTCAGAAACGCTTTCACTATTATGCATGGAGAGCAGAGCTACTTCAACTTTGTAAGAGTCCTAAGAAGGAAAAAAGTGCAAAAGTCCAAATTTAATAATTTATACAGAAAAGGGCACAGGCGAGAGCATTAGAGAGGTTGCTGCATTGTGACAACCAAGGGACTGGTCACAGTGTGGTTGCCATCAGACCAAACTATGGAACCGCTCTTGAAGGCCGAACTTCCAGGGGAAAGCTTAACTGCCCTTGCTTGGACCCTAACCAGAAAGTTCAATTTCTGACCCAACCTTCTGAAAGACAGGGTGTCTGGCTCCACCGTCACCACCGTCCCCGCAGGTGGTGTAACGGTGACTCTGTAGACGGACTTTGGGTATCCAACGTTAGTGACAGTTCTAATGAAGTGTGTAGACAAGTTTTGGTTTCCATACTGTGGGAAAAGAGCAGATAAAGAGGGGTAATTGAGATTGGCTGCGTGACCAGCCCTCTTTGCCCCACTGCAATCCGCAGACTTCCTGGTGATGGCACGAATATTGGTGGCAGTATAATTAGAATTGCACAAGAAATGGACATAATCGTAGGGAGAGATGTCATAAATCAAGCCAGGGTTGATGGCCTTCTCTGGATGAACATGCCCAGCCCCGTAATCGAATACGGAGGACACATTCCCAGTGGACTCGTCCAACAACGGGCCTCCCCCATCACCATTATCAACAGTGTAAGCAGTGGTGATGAGAGCGGATCTAATAGCAGCAGGACTCCAATCGGAGTGGGCGGCTTTCAACAGAGCAGCCAAACCAGAAACGTGAGGACAAGCCATGGAAGTACCAGACAGTATGTTAAACTCAGTCCTACGCTCATCTGAAGAAAGCCCAGAAGGGGAAACTCTATCGGGCCAAGCAGCAAGAATGTTCAACCCAGGAGCAATAACATCGGGCTTCAAAATCTCAGGAGAGACAGGGTTGGGGCCTCTGGCAGAAAAGGAAGCAACCTTGGGGGCGGGCCTAATACCAAGCCTCGTACCCTTGAATAGGATAGTGGCAGTTGGGGGTGACCTTGAATGTGAAGCCAAAGAGATGTACTTCCGAATCTCATCGCCGCCGCTCGCACCCACCGACGTGCCGGGAAGCACGTGGCAATCAGCCACCAAACCCTCACCGTCGAACACTCCATTCGCCAAAACCATCCCAACTCCCCCTGCCTTCTTCACCACTTCCCCTTTTGCAGCTCTTGAATTTCCGCCTCTGTCACACACAACAATCTTCCCCTTCACCAGCTTCCGATCCAGCGAGTCTTCCAAGCAAAGGGACGAGGAGTAACCGTCACCCCCACTTTCAGAACCCGCGTAGTGCAGCGGGTACATCCGACCTGGACTCAGACCCGGTCCACCATACACGCTCGCCCCGCGTATCAACTTGCCATTCCCCAGCATCACATCGGCCGGGAAATCTCTGTCTATGGTTCCTGCGCCAACGGTGGTCACCCAGGGTGCCACATTCGTCACCGTCAGGCCGCCGGGACCGCCGTTTCCGGCCGAGGCGGAGACGAAGACGCCGGCCTGAGAGGCTCCGAAGGCCCCCACGGCGATCACGTCGAGATGGTAGGGCACCACTACGCCCCCGACGCTGAGTGACACGACGTCGACGCCGTCGGCGACTGCGGCGTCGAATGCGGCGAGGATGTCGGAGTCGTAGCAGCCGGCGTTCCAGCAGACCTTGTAGACGGCGAGGCGAGCCTTGGGAGCCATCCCGGCGGCCATTCCTTTGGCGTAGCCCATGGTGGACGCCGGAAAGACGTACCTGCCGGCGGCGATGGAAGCCGTGTGTGTTCCGTGACCGTCGGAGTCTCTGGGAGAACGGTACTCCAAGGTGTCGTTCATCTTGCCGTTAGTGGCCTCATAGCCGGCGCAGAAGTAGCGGGCTCCGATGAGCTTACGGTTGCAGGAGGTGGCCGGAAAGTCTTTACCGGCGACGCACTGGCCCTTCCACTTGGGGGGGAGGGGACCAAGATCGCGGTCGTTGAAGCTCTGTCTTTCGGGGCAAATGCCAGTATCGAGGACTCCAATTACGAGATCCGACCCGAAATCGGTCTCCTTGAGCAAGCCGGCTCTGTCGGCGGTCTTGAGGCCCAAGAACTGAGGGGAGCGCGTGGTGTGGAGCTGCCTCACCTGCTCCGGAATCACGCTTACGACATGCGAGAGCAATTGCAGCCTCTGCGCCTCCAAAAGTGACAGCTTTGCAGAGAAACCGTGAAATACCGTTTGGTAGGTGTGAATAATGGAAGCCGAGTCGTGGAGTGAAGACTCGTACCAGTGCCTCTGCGTTGGAAAAATGGAAGGTTTTGCTTCTTCCTCAACTTGCACTATGAATGTTTTCTTTTCATCCCACCCTGAGGCTGTTGTCAGCAACAACAACATAATGATAATCATGTGGGAGGGAGGTGAAGCCATTGAAATTGAAGAGAGTGAGTTTGTGAGTGAGAGTAAAAATGAGTAGGAACGTGAAGGTGTGTGTTGTGTAGTGGAGTGATGTCTAGTGGTCTTGGTCGTCCATTTCAAAAGTACATCATTTCTTTTCTATTTTCGGTTCACATTTTTTGTAGGCATCTCCATAAACTACTATACACTGTGTCTGTGTGAGAGAGTGTGAGGGAGCTCGTGTTTGGGCATTGACACAGATTTGCACTATTGGCTGTTGCAACTCACTCAATTAATTATAAAAGACAGTAGAGGGGGGCAGATTAGCCTTTTAGACTTTAGTGACAGGATAGCACATGTTCTATTTGTACCGCCCCTTCTCATAATTCAACATAATTGACTAACACTATCGAATAATATACATAAATTACCTTATTTCTTAACATTCATATTTGTCCAATATGCCCATTACATTATAATAATCTAACCAGCATTCTTTTTCGGATCCGTGCTCTCCGTTTGTCATGACGTGGACGAGTCTTCTCTGAAGCCTAGTTTTTGTTTTCATCTACCTACCTTTGTTTTCATTTCTGTTCGTGTAGACATATATCAAACCATTATTAGTTTTCTTCCTTCCCCCAACATTATGATCCATAAAAATCAGCATACATGAGTGCTTACCGACACATTGCAAACTACACGACTTGCAGCTTTCATTTTGAACTGCAAATGATCCCATTTTGAACTTACCATCACAATTACTTCATTCTAACTCATTTCCATGGTATATATCGTAATTCGTCTTACATATGTATATACAATCAAGTCCTTTTATTTCTAAATGAACTATTCATTGTTTTTATGTATATAACCTCATTCTTATAAATATATTTTTTAAATAAGCTGAGTACATCCAACGAGTTATATTATTTCAAAGTGTACTTTTTACAACATAATTATTTATTTTGTTTTTATCCCTTTTAATCTCATTATTTATCTTTTTTTTTATTGCTGTTCACATTCATTCACTGCTAAATAGAATATGTTTCTGTTGGGGTTTTTTTACAAAACAGAGTTTACTAGACAAATCTCAATTTAGGAGGCAAGATTAATCGAGTTTTTACAAAGTAAAAGAAATAGATTTTGGATTCGAAACCAATCGGGCCTTATGCATAACTGAGACTGATTATTTATTCTTCAGAACGTTTCACGTCCAAACGTAATAATTCGTCTTTATTTTTAGTGATATGCATAGAATATTTTGAATAACCATTTCAAACGGTCATTAGTAGCATTATTATTGTCCTTGATTTCAAGAGATAAACATTATGAAAATCATGTAGGGGCATGACTTGCACTACATATACATATAAACGGGTTCATACTCATTGCCAGACATCCAAATGAAAGGGGCAACGATCTTTGTTTTAATTATTTTGTTGGTTGAATATTTACCAAATTGTAACTTCGCGTTGATGAAGGTTCGATTAAGATAAAATGGAACCCAACAATGGGTTTGTACCCATCAAGTAAGCCCTCAGCACTGCTACTATAAGTTATAACTTGCAAGCTTAAAAAATAAAAGAAAAAACCTACAAATAGTAAAAAAAATTTACTTCATCTTTTCCCTTGAATATTGTAATAGATGTGTAGTTGTTGAAGACTAAAGAGATGTAAGCAAGCATAGCATTTATAATTAAAAGATTAAAACATTGTACCCAACATTTTTTTTATGTACAAATTAATTGAAAAATGAGTGGTTAATACACAAATTCTACTTAAAGCTTAGTAGAATTTAGATGCAATTACCTTCCAAATTATGTAGTTGTGAGAGAGAGATTTTTGGAATTACAGTTCTATTGTTAAATATTTAAAATTAAAATTATATAATAAATTTTTATATTTTTCATACATAAATATTAAAAAAATCTTAAATAAAAAAGTAATGTATGTAAAGAAAAACATTTTTCTTTGAATTATAAGTGGTATTATTGAGGACAAAATATCAAGTGATACATCATATCGAAGTGAATGGCATGTTCACGTAGTAATGGGATGGGTCTCTCTGTATGTGACAAGGGATACAATGGTGGGCCGAGAAGGTGATGTGATACTCATCACTGAGTTTAAATGGCATGTTTCACAACTTACTATAAAAATAAAAAGGAAAAAAAATAGTTATAAGATTTTCTCTGCATATATATTGCAAAGAAAAAAAACTATATAATAGGTTATCCTTCATAAATTTTACTTAATTTAAGGGATTTGATAAAAAGGAAATTGAGCTATGAAACTATTGCCCAATGGTTTTGATTACGAGGATTTCTCTTAGACTGATAAAGTCTTCGCCTTCTGAGATCCTCGAGGATCAGGCGAGTCTCTAGAGTAGCATCATTCCAGCAATGTCTGTAAGACACTACCATTAGCATTTGCTTGGTAGAGCTCTCTTGAGTGTGCTCTCTCATCTCATCCAAAACTATTTGCCTGTTCCGGCATTCCGTGCTGCAGAAACCTTGATCACCCCTGCGCAGCACCAAAATTATCCATGATGTAAAAAGGGGCAGCAAATATTATTCTTAATGTAGGACTAATTTTGTCACTTTCTATTTACGTTCACTAGATATGTCCACCTTTGGTACGAAATCATCCACCACACATGAATCACGATGCAATTAGTGTTCTCTTGGGAAAAATAATAATTTATAGATATCTTTGTCTTGTTGAGCTGCTTATTGCATAGGTTACAAGTTTGAAGGAAGCAAAACTCTGGAGGGCTGGTTTGATTTAGTTTTGTAAGTGCAGATTGAATAAGGACATTGGATTTGCCCTTTGTTGGGGTATCAACTCAATGCGGAAGACTGGATCGAATTTAATTGGAAATAAAGAGAAGTAAGAGAATAATAGAGATAAAATTTTAACGTGGGAAAAACTCCAAATCGGAGAAAAAACTCACGGACAACGACGAGCAAAATAATTCTACTATGTAAAAGGGAGAGTACAAAAAGTCCTCTAAAATTATGAGAACAAAGAGTAATAAATCACTCTATTTTTTCTCTCAATAAATACTCTCTCAGAATGGAATAAGAGTTACAAAATAACACTCTCAAACTTCTTCTTCTGATCAGTGAATGATCGATTTTCGTATGTTCTTCATTCATTCTTACACTGGGTATTTATAGACAAAATTTTGTAAAGTTTTTCAACAATTACTATAGCAATTCGGTGCCTACCAAATGCAAAATTCAATGCCTACAGATTTTGAATGCCGGTGCCTACAAAGTTGAAAAAAAAAACAAAGTTGCTGCCTACAAAATTTGACAAACTGAGCCACCTACTAACAATCTCCACCTTGGATCAGTTTTGATAAATTGCTCGACGTTGTTTAAACCCCAAAGGGCGTTCAAGTGCTGTAGAGACCAACCAAGTCCAAGCAATGCTGGAACTTGGCCTTTGGAAGAGGCTTTAAGCCAAAGAGCCTCTTTCACACCCTCTGTCGCTGCAACATATTCAGCTTCAGTCGTAGATAATGATGGAAGAGACTGAAGCTGAGTTTTCCAACTAATAGCATAGTTACAGAGAGTAAATATGTAACTAGAAAGAGATCTTCTTTTGTCAAGATCGCCACCATTATCCGAATCAACAAAACCTGTAACTTCAGTTGTTGCATGATTTCTATCGAATACCAAGCCAATATCAGAAGTACCTTTGAGATACCGAAAAATCCATTTTACAGCACTCTAATGATCCTTTCCAGGATTATGCATATGCCGACTCACCATGCTAACGGCATATGCTAAATCAGGTCTAGTGCATACCATAGCATACATAAGACTGCTAACAGCACTAGCATAAGGAACGCGTGACATACGCTCCATGTCTTCCTCTGTCTTAGGACAAAGGTCAGGTGATAACTTGAAATGTGCAGCAAGTGGAGTAGAAACAGGTTTGCAATTAGACATATTAAACCTGTCAAGCACTTTCTCAACGTATTTTTGTTGAGATAGGAACAATTTACCAGCTTGACGATCCCTGCAAATCTCCATACCAAGAATCTTCTGAGCTGCACCCAATTCTTTCATCTCAAACTCATTATTGAGTTGAGTTTTTAATTTTCTGATCAGAGACTTATCACGTGATGCAATTAACATATCATCAACATATAGTAACAAGTATATGTAAGATTCATCAGGAAGTTTTTGAAAATAAATACAGTTGTCATATTGACTTCTGCAATAACCTTGCCCAATCATAAAGGAATCAAACCTTTTATACCATTGTCTCGGAGCTTGTTTGAGTCCATATAAAGATTTCTTCAATCGGCAGACAAGATGCCCCTTACCAGGAACAATAAATCCCTCAGGTTGCTCCATATAAATTTCCTCTTCCAGCTCTCCATGCAGAAAAGCTGTCTTAACATCAAGTTGCTCCAATTCCAAGTCAAATAAAGCAACAAAAGCAAGCAAAACACGTATGGAGGTATGACGAACAACAGGTGAGAAAATTTCATTAAAGTCAACACCTTCTTTTTGGCTGAAGCCTTTAACAACCAATCGTGCCTTGCATCTAGGATCTTCAACCCCGGGAATGCTGTCTTTCTTCTTATAGACCCATTTGCATTTCAAAGGCCGTTTGCCCTTGGGAAGTTATGTTAAACTCCAAGTACCATTCTTATGAAGACTTTCAATTTCTTCATTCATAGCCACTAGCCATTTTGAAGAATCAGCACAAGAAACAGCCTCAGTATAACTGGCTGGTTCAATGTCATTATTTATTTCTTGTGCAACAGATAATGCATATGCAATTAAATTATCATCATAAGCATAATTTGCATATCTAGCTGGCTTAGTAATCATCCTTCTTGGTCTATTTTGAGCAATGGAATACTCCTATTCCTGCAGCTGAATTGGAGAAGTGGTAATCTCATCAACATCATCATTACCACAAATATCAGCGCTAGACTTATTGATAGAAGAAGATGGAACATCAACATTAGGAATTGTAGATTTCAACTCCAACTCCACCTTCTCGCTAGTACCCTGCAGATTATTAGTACTAGTAGAAGAAATCACAGAAGTTTGTTTTCCAGAGGATAATAAAGCATCCTCATTAAAAGTCACATCTCTACTGAGAATTAATTTTTGTGACTTAGGATTCCATAAACGATATCCTTTAGATTCATATGCATAACCAAGAAATATGCACTTGACAGCTCTTGGAGCTAATTTGCCATCATTGACATGTGCATAAGCAGGACATCCAAAGATTCTCAAATTGGAATAATTAACAGG